TTGCCAGGGTAACTAATGCCTTCTTTTCCCTTTGGCTGTGAAACCCAGACAAACCTGACTATGAGTCCTTACTCTTTCACTTCTGCCTATGTGACCTTGGATAAGTGACTTGTCTTAAACCTTGTTTTCCTCATTAATGGGAGGAATGAAAACTATTTTATGGAGATTTTGTGAGGTTGAGAGTTAATGGGTAAAACTTGTCAGCACAAGTTAGCTACCTAGTAAAATGGTAGTAACTAGTAAATATTAAGACTCTAAAGCTTGATCGGGATGACACAATATAATAACAACACAAGACAAAATATTCCAAAGTGAGTAGTGTAACAATCTGTTGTATTGTAAGTGTGGAATATAAATATGCAGTATTAGCATAGTTTTCTTCACTAGGTCATATCTGCCAGGGACACACCATTGTACAGGGGCTGTGAGATTCTAAACACCAATTTTCCACGGCTCCGTCTGCTATACAGAATGTGCTCTGGGATGTATACACCATCAAGAACATAAAGGACCCTTTTAGAGAAAATCTAAGCATGTGTATCATTTAACCTTGGCTGCATGAACGCGATGTTACATAGCACAAAACAGAGCCTGGCCACCTGGTTTGCATTCATGGGGAAAGCAGCGACCACAGATTAAGCACAGCAAAAACTCTGTCCCTATTAGGAGTTCATTCTTAAATCGAGGGACTTCTCACTGGCTTCTGAATAGCTTTATGAAAAAAGAAGTGCTAAAGAGTGACTCAGCCCATGCTTTGAGCTATAGTAGTATCCCTGTGAGAGGGGCTCATTCCAAGCAATAGCAGTGGTTCCACCCAGTGCTGGAATTTAAGGTCTATGTCCTTATCTCCTACTGTTGATTCTCTGCCACATGGAGAGAATGGGCCTCTCTTCCAAGAGCATGACGCCCACCTCAAATTGGTACAACATTGCATAACCCAAACGAGGGTTGAACATTGATAGGGCAGCCAACCAAGGGTTACCACCTGTTCATTCATGGTTGGTTCTGGTTTCACAAAGCAGATTGTTTCTTTTGTTCTCCTCTCTTGGTCTCTCTGACATTTTCCTGACTTGACATTTTTCTGCTGCCACAGTACGTCCTGTCTTCCTCTCTCTGCTATTCCCCGCCAGCCCCCACTCCCACCTCCTTACTTGTAGGATGGTGCTAGCAATATTGAGAAAAGGCTAGTTACATTCATAACTGGAGGAGGAGTCAGCTCTAAACTCTGCTGATTGTGGGGATCCATTCATCCCTCTCCCCCCACAAAGTGGTATTTTCTTGAAATGCTGTTCAGTCACATTTATAGGAATGGCATGGTTTTCATTCGAGGATAAGGATGTATAATGCAACTCAGGCAAACTGCCTGACACATGTTTTACCCAGCCAACCATTCTTCTTGAGAAGGAAATTAGATTAGAAATATCGAGACTGCACCAACATTCCAACTCCTGATAGCTTATAAACGTGGAAATACTGAACTGTTTTTTAGATTTTCAGAATCAGATAATGTGATTGTAATTTTGAAGGTCACTCCAGAATCTGCAATTTCCAATTTATTTTAGCTTTCTGTTACCTAACACCACCCTGAATGGATTGACAACAGGGACAATTTCTTAATTGAACATTTAGGGCTTCATATTTGAAAGAGGCTTCTCTGTCCACAGTTAGCCCTGCTCTTTAAAAATTTTGTCACTTTTCAATATATTGAAAGCCACTGAACTTTATGACTTGTAATATTATTCCCTGTGTTAGTTGTCATCTCAGACTGCACCCACTCAAACCAAAACAACTTTTTGTTGTTAAGACTTCTCATATTTATACAATCTGTGTTTTTCAATCTTGATGAAAATGTAGAAGAAAAAGAACCACATGCCACATATGTAGTCATTTCTCATAAAAGTGGGACACTTGGGTAATTCTGTAAATTCAGCAGTCTATACTTAGTGGTTCATTCTTTCAATGTAATATTCTTGCAATTCTTAAAATGATGGAAATGGATTTTGCAATATTAAAAGAAGTTAGACAATATAACACATTACATGCTGCAGAAAACTAGGAATACTGTCAGAGTGTATAATTTGTAAACAAATTGCATGTGTATACCAATGTATTGTACATAGATAATATTCTCTGTATAGGAGAAAAACCACATAAAAATTGTCCATAGTGCTGGATGGGAGAACTTCTACTGATTTGGTTATTTGGGTTTGGGTTTATGACTCTTATCAATATTATTTAATTGTTCTACCATATAGTTTTACTTTGTGCTCTTTTTTTTTTTTTCATTTAATTGTGAGGTGTGGGGGGGTGGTTAAAGAGACTACGAACTAGGCACTCACATTCAGACAGGTCATGAAGTTATAAAAATCTCCCCACTATCCTCTCTGTTGTTACAGATAGTAAATGTTGTATGCCAGATGTCGTTAAATCCTTTCCTTTTGTTAAGCCTCTTCTACATACAGGGTGCTTGGCCCTTAGAACAGTACATGTAGCAGGTGTTATTATCACCAGGATGCAGATGAGGGGTCCCAGCCCATTTATATCACTGGCGTCACAGAACTGATAAGTGGCTGAGCTGCGAGGCAGACATAAGCCTGACCTGAAGTCAGTTCTTATGACTTTCTTGTCTCTCACTCTCAATGTTCTGTCCTCTGTTAGGATGGAGTGGATGTATGTAAGTGAGAGCTCACATGCTCAGTGAAATAAACCAGAAAGAAAAAGAAAAATATCGGATGATTTCTCTTATAAGAGGAATGTAGAGGAACCAAGTAAAGGGTGGGGGGGGAGAGGTAATCATAATAAATTAAAAATTGAAATAACAGGGCAACTATAAAAGAGACACATTCTGCAGGGAAAGGGGAAGGAGAAGGATCAAAACAGGAGTGGGGAAGAGCGCAAGGGACTGTGGTGATGGTGCCCAGGTGACTTGGTGGGAATTTTACTGGGGCTATACCTGAGAGGAGGAAGCAAACATTCTACAAAAATGAACAATGATGTAAAAAAAAAAAATGTATGTGTAATAAAAATAAATACATACATAAATAAAAAGAAGGTATTCAACTGGCTGATTTCACTCATGTAGAGTACAGAGAAACCAAAGGGTCAGACAAGACCAAACCAATAACAAACCCAAGAAATCTGACTGTAGAATTGAAGCTACTGGAGGAGCAGTGGGAACGTGGAGAGGTCGCGTGGGGAGGTGGCCCCATCATTGATGGAAAAGAGCTGTGGGTGTCTTGGTGGGGGCGTGTGGGGTGGGGACAGGCTTCTGAGGGATGTAATCCTATACTTCTCAATCACATAGAGCGGTTAAGCCAAGGTCACCTCAATGAAGATAATAATGCAAACAAATAGGCACTGGGAGATTTTACCAGCATCTATGTCTTTCAGTACTATGTTGATTTCCTGCTGTCTTATTTTTTAAAAGATTTATTTTAGGGCCCTCCCTGGTGGCGCAGCGGGTTAAAGCACAGCACTGAGAATCTAAAGCTGCTTCCACATGAGTTCGATTCCCGCCTGCCCCGGAGGTGACCACATGGCGTGGCAGACCTCTCCTGACCCGCCCGCTGCTCCCCTCAGCAGTGTACTTTGTCAATCTGCCTGTTCTGTTCCCCACTCTGTCTCTGGTGAAGCCTCTCACCACCCCTGAGCCTCTGGCCTGTACCCCAGTTCTGTATGTACAAATAAAAATATCTTTAAAAAAAAAAGATTTATTTTATTTATTTATACATACAAGACCAGGGGTATAGACCAGAGGTTTGGGGTGGGGGATGGGTGAGAGGACTCACCTGAGACAGAGTGGGGAGCAGAACAGGAAGACGGATGAAGTACACTACTGAGAGGACCAGTAGGTAAGGCAGGAGAGGTCTGCTGTGCCCTGGCCCGGGATCGAACTTCGCTGCAGTGGCTGCTGATAGCTTCAGAGAGTTGAGTCTTTTACCTCTGTGCCACCAGGGAGGCCCTTGCCTGCTGTCTTTTAAATGAAAGAATTAGAGTACAAACTTCTCAGGAGTCAGATTTTGGTCCCTCCCCTCTGCAGCATGGGTAGGGTCTTCTCCCTGGCACTATGATGTGTGCCCATAAATATGCCACCCGGAAGATAAGCACCATGACCAGGAGGCTCCCTCCAGACTGCCATAGTGCCCACATCACTCTCTTCCTTTTAGGGCAAGGGAGGAAAAGCAGTGACCTCCTTCCAGCTCATAGAATTAATCCCAAATGCGCCAGGATTATGGGAAAGTTGCCAGCCTTGGCAGCCAGACAACTTTGCCTCCCTCCCATCCCCTCCTAAATCTGCTAAATCGTCTTTAAAACAGTCTCTGGAAATTTTTTAAAAATTGGATGTTGAGCACAGCTCCTTCTGTGGTGCAGATTAGAAGTCTGCCGCTGTCACTCTCTTATCTCCCTTTGCCTTTCGGGCTTCCTCTCCCAACACTCACATCATCTCCGTCATTTCCCACACTCTCAGACCCTGTGCCTTCCTTACGGGATGACTCAGTCGGGCTGACATGTGTTCCCCAGCTCCTCCCTGCCAGGACCGCATTCACATGTGAGCCCCATTATGGATCCCTGTGGGTCACTGACTTTCATGGGGGATGGATGGAGCTGTGGGTGTGCCATTTTGGGGAAGGGCAGAATGCAAAAATGGGGCACTCTGGCTACTTATTCAGACCTCTAGTGGGGTGCAGATTGGCATTTTAAAAGCTCCATTTAAAAAATCATTTCCCTGGCTTCATATACACTCCGTTGTCAGAGAGTACACACATCTTGCGATAAAGAAATAAAGCATGTGACTATTTTCTGTGTAATGATTATCAAGTCTCTGTTTCTAAAATTCGTGTAACCAGACAGTGGTGCTTAAGCATTTCTTCGGCTACTCACTCTCACTGTGCATATAAATGTCAAAGTGTTCGATGCTGGGATTTCTTATCTCTAGTTCCACCGCCTGTACTGATTGAGACAATGGGTTTAATGCATTTTAAAATCTTTTTCTCTTCCAGTTTTCCAAAGAAATTAGTCTGTTTTCTTGGTGAAGAGAAACCAATCTGCTGTTTTCATAGGGTGAGTGTTCTTTTGACTCTTATCTATTTTTTTACTAACATCAGCATTTTATCAATTATATGCCCCAGGAAAAAATGATGGATGGCAGGCACTCTTAAGAAATTTTCTCCCACGTGGAACCAGTGTTGACTTACTCCCACGTGTTGACTTACTCTTCCCATCCCCAGGACAGTCAGAAAGGAAGGTTTTTTAGATTTCTTTTTGTCACCCACATGTTTTGCCTCTTAGGAGTGGTTATTCCATTGCTGTTGCCTCATCCAGCCTACAGAGGGGATGAGACATGGCGTTTCTTTTCTTCAGTAACTGATGTGGCAAAGAGGCCGAGACAGAGGGGACCCATTGGTTTTGTTCTCGTAGCATATAATCCATGAATTGCCATGACAAAGTGTGACAGGATGTGAATATTGAATGTTCACATGACAAAGCCTCTGTGGATAGACTAGATAGCTGCTCCAGAGGGTTTCAAGTCACCTGCTTGGGAGCTTCTGAGACAGCAGTAGAGCTGGGATTATGAAACACACGTTTGACTCCTAGATGCAGGAATCACTCTGCTGTCTTTCTAATCCTGATTCCTTCTGCAGACATAGAGAATCACTAGTGGTTCTGTACATGTAATACCGGGGAAAACAATGATAACAGCCAATAATAGCCCTTGAAGGCAAGTGTCCTGGGTGAAGCTGTTAAATTTTCTAGTAATCATAAGTGGCTATGACTGAGAGAGTCTGGGAGAATTCTTTTGTATGGACATGATCTGAGAGGGCATATTTTCTTTCTCACCCTTCCCAGACCACTGCATTTACAATGTCATATCACATACTGAGACTCAGTGGCACATCTGTTCTGAAGCTAGAAGCTACATATGCATCAGGCCAGCTCAGACCTGCACACTGCTGCCTGAGGCTGTGTATACCTGTGTAATACCTAGTGGATTTCTTACAGTGCAGCACAAATTTGGCCCACAGTTATAGAGACTTTTGGAGAAGCAGTCATCCTCACTCACATGGAGTATGATGAAAAGCAGCATGAGCCTCTGATTCCTGATGGGAGTCCTGGGAGGGGATCCTGCCAGTACATCTTTTGAGGATGTCCAGGTCTGGATCATGCCCATTTAGGTTAATGAGCCAAGTGCACTTATTTCCAAAACATTTTATCATACCTTGGGATGAGCTTGGTCTACACTGTAATACTGAGAGCCTATGCCCACTGTTTCATCACATTTCTCAACGTCATCAGTTTACCTCAATGAATAGTTGGTTGTACTCTTCTGCCTAACAGTCTGTTAAGAAACAGAAGGTGTCTCCATATTTATCAGGGCACAGAGAATTTGCTTTCTGCCAGTGCACTACATGAGATTTAGAACATGGAGGGCAGGTTCACTAAGGGATAACTTATTATTCTAGTATTGATCTTCCCTGTCCCCAGATGCTTAATTAACATGAATGTGCATTCATTAGACTTGTGCACTTGAGGGTTTCCATTTCCTCATGTTGTCCAGGAAAAGCCCAAATAGTTTATACCCAGAACACACACTAATATAATGTTGGATAGATGATGCTTCCATAGGAAACCTGTGGGCCTCTGTGCGATACAAACTGAAAATCCTTATTACGGACATAGGAAAGTGGGCTAGTGCCAGTTCTGTGCCCACACAGAACAAACAGTAGAACAGGTCTAAGACATGCTAATGGGATCGTAGAGGGCCATCTGGACTTATGCTGCTATTTTGGTTTCCTCCTGGGTGGGGTCATAAGGCATTTGAAGTGGAAGGTCAGAAGGCATCAAATATTAGAAACCAAAAATATTACAAGCCATTTGCTATTCCCAGTTGGGGAGGAGATAAAACACAAACTGAAGCTGTGAGTTTCTTATTTAAAAGTAGCTCAGAGGCTGGTCTCCACCCATATGGAGGACCACCTGCCACACACCTGTACAGGGACACTTGCAGAATCTGAGTCTCTGGGCTCCATTTCATGCTGTGCAGTGGGGAACCTAGAGACAGCTGCTGTTGTTTCTAAGCTCATCATCGACAGTATCCCTTTAAGGGAGATCTTGGGAAATGCTCTTGCCAACGCTGTGATTTTATTTGCTAGAGGCCAAGTAGCAGTGGCATGTATCGGTTCCATAGCAACACGTCTGTGTGGACAGAGGAAAAAGAATGATGGTCACTGCCAGCATCTCCTGGGCAGGATGAGCACAACCCTGACAACCCCCCTTTTCCCCTAACCTTATCCTGACCTGCCTTTCCCCACGTGTAGAGAACACAGACTTTATAATTGTTACCATCTCTCTCTGCTGTTATCACTTGCCTCCTGTCCCCACTGGGCTTGAGTGAGGGCAGAGATGTCTGTAGTAAGACTCTGCCACCCGTGCCAGTTGACCTGGCAGAACATCCCAGCCACAGCAAAAGAAAGTAGGTGGAGAGTCTGTGCTTTCCATCAGTACCCATCAGTGGCAAAGCAGCTCTGTCAGAAAGGCAGGATGGGGAGAGCGTTTCCTGGATATCACTGTCAGCACTCTGGTGGGAACACAGGAATGTGGCAGTGAAACGCGGCAGACATGAAATCGGGGGGAACAGAACACCCATTTACAGTGCTCCCCAGGTTTCAAGACACCTTCCTGGTAGAGTGCACTGAGCTGCAGGGAGACTTACAACACACGTGGCGTAACTTCTCGGAGCTTCTACCAGAGGTGCGGTTTCTAATGGCAGTTTCCCCAGTGCGTGCCGTTGGTGTTTTAACGTTTCGCTGATGTTTTTCTCATCTATAACATCCTCAGTGAAAACCTTACGATCACTCTTGATTTTAGCAAATGCTTTTTACCACTGAACTCCTGAAGCATTTTTAAAAAAAATCTTGCCATCTTTTGGACTCAGGTCTTGTATTACATTTCTTACTGCTTTATGGCCTGAGTGGCTTCTAAGTGGAGGCAAAGACTTCAACGCCAGGAACCATCTATCTTCTTCTTCATTTTTTTTTTTAAATGTGTCTAGTGCTGAGAGCTGTGCCATTAATTTTCGCCACAAGCATGTGATAGTCTCACTGCATCTCCTCCAGGAGGCAAGTGTGTAAATATAGTGGACATGCTGATAAAATCTTCTGAGAAAAAACAAATTCAAGCAATTCTATTTCTAGTGTGGTTTGTAAGAGCATGTCAATATGAAATCACAAGGTAAAGCTATCTAAAGACTTCCCGTTTCCTCATTTTCTCCTTTGTGGCTGCCAACCATGAACTGTAGACCCCGGGGTTTTACACGGACGCTGAAGGCGGCCCCTACTCTCCCTCAACCCCACGTTCACTATCTACTGAATTCTCCTTATTATGCCATGTGGGCCAGACTTCTCAGTCAACCCCCTTACACTCAGTGTCTTTGGAACTATTAAGTAAGAGATTTGAAGGATTTTTCATTAAGGTGACAGGTTTGATAGATGAGGATAGTGGTTCCTAATTTAGTTTGCAGGTCTGTTGGGGGAGGGAAGGTTTTTATCTTATAAAAACTTTTATCTTAAAAGACTTTTCTTCCCTTCCCAAGTTCTGAGCCAATTGAGAAATAAGACAGGCGTAATAAGGCAGATGGGAGCCAAAATGCACCTCTGCGAGTGATAACGGTTAAGTGAGTAAGAAGTTGTATCTTAGGTTGACAGCCAAGGAGGACTCACCCCCTCCCTCTTCCCCGCTCTGGGCCTCGTGACAGTCCACCTGCAGGGAAGTTTTGAGCCTGTGACCCACCGCCTGTGTGAAAAAGGAAGGAGAAAGAGATCAAATCCCCCCACACGCTTCCTGCTTAAAATGATAGCTCTCTCCCCAGTGGGAATTAACATTACCCAAGGAGAGGCCCAGGCCTCGCTGACTTTACATAGCAATAACTCACTCTGCCTCCTTTGTAGAGATGGGGGTGAGAGAGGAAGCAGTAAGAGCTCAGGGGGCACTGAGGGGAAACCCTCCATGGAAACACATGAGTGGGGAATGGTGTCTCCCTCTGGCTCTGCTCACAGCTCTTACTTCTCACACGCCAGGCCGCAAGCTCTCCGCTCTTGTTCTAACCATCTTATTTACCATGCTAGCTTCACAGCTGTTCCGTTTCTGTAGTGGTTTACCATTTTTTAAAATTTTGTTTTATTTTATTTTTGCTTCTCTTATCCACTGGCATGTTGGCTAGTGAAAGCAAAAACCCTGTCAGTAGCATTTACTGCTGTATCCAGCCCATAAAGCTGTACCGGGCACATCGGAGGCATTTGATGATGAATAGTTGTTGTTTTGCACCTGTTCTCAGGCTCCTTACTTGCCTGGACATCCCTTGGGCCCCATCTTGCCCAGCAAGCACCCATTTTGTGATGACACTCAGTTAGCAATCACCTTCTCTCTGCAGCTCTTCCTGTCTTCCGTTCCTGGAAAGGGAGGGAGAACCTTCTAGCCTGCAACTCACAGTAGCCAGAAGCTGTACATCCATTCTGTGTGTGTACACACATATCTGCTGTGCTGAGGGAGTGTGTGTCCTTGTGTTCTCCCTCTCCCTCTCCCCTTCCCTCCCTCCCTTTCTGACTCTGACCCTGGAATACCTCAATTGACTCATTATTTGCAAACCTGTCACCTTTCCTAGACTGCAAGCAACTTGGGAACTGGACTTCTCAGTTACCCTCATTTCCCTCATGTAGAAAATAATTGCTCAATAAATAGTAATATTAGGATTCTTAGTACTTATGCTGTTATACTTCTTAAAATAACTCTAAGCATCTTACATATATTGATTCATAAAATTCTCTTAACAGTGTAACAAGATACAATTTTAACTCTCACTGAACAGGTCAGGAGATATTAAGAGATGAAGAGACTGACCTATAATTTCACAGCTAGTTTGATACCATAGCTGTTATTCTCTGCTGACTCTCAGAGGATGATTGAATAAATGAATGACTAAGAATCCTGGACATCCAGACGTGTGTCATTCAGCAGGGCCACAAATGTTGAGAGTCACATAAATGAACAAGAAGTGGTCACCATGC